TTTTCTGCTTTATCATCTATGTCAAATAACATGGAGATATTCAGTTCTTTCAGGTGTCTCTGTGATAATGCATATCCACTGAATTGAAACCAGTGGCATGTACACAGCAATTAGAACTCAGATTTAAGCCTGGTGAGGTCATTTCTGGGTTAAATGAGAATTTCAGGAGTTATAGTAAGGGCCTAGTGCAAACACATGCCAAAGTCAGTTACATGCAAAGCATGGACATAACATGAAATGTTATACTGAATGCCATTGTACTGTTCTGATTTAAGTCAAGAAAGTTTCTTCTTTATTTAGGTTTATTGTCCATGTTGGCAAAAAAGTCATGTTAATATTTACTCATTTATTGCCTATTTAACTTTCTTTTACTTAAGACTCATGTTATGAAGTCACAAAATAGAGAGCCAGATTGTACCCTTAAAGGTGAGGTTCTCACATAAAGAAAGCTTCACATTAAGATATGAGAATTTTTCTTACTGATAAAGGATAGCTCATGATCAGTGAATAATATTAAGGATTCACAAGGCCTGCACATTTATCCTTGCACTCCAATTAAAAAAAAAAAAAAATCTGAAAATATAAATATTTAGTTAAAAATATTAGAATACAACAAACTTCAGGAGAAATAACTGTTTTGGCAGTGATTCTCATGTTTTTTTTCCAGAGGTGCACATGTTGATACGTGTAAACGTATCAAAAGGAGATTTTTAGTTACTTCTTTTTTTGGTCACCATGATGATAAAAGAGTTAAGTGGACTCCTTTAAGAACTCTTGATCTCACTTGAGGACTCTTGAAATCAATTTACTTGAGCATCAGGGTAAGCTGCTGGTATTTTTCATAATAATGGAAATAGAAAGTATATACACTTAAAATTATTACAGGTTTCTGGAACACAACATCTAAAAAAAATATTTTTTTTTTAATTTTTAATTCTAATTTGAAACAAAATTGTTTCACATGTGAAAGAGGAAGGCCCAGCATTCTAAGGGATTTTGGAATTGGGAGTGATTGTTTACAAAGAAGACGTAGGAAGAGGGGTAGAGAAATGCTTGGCACATCCATTCTCCTTCCCTTCTCTTTGTGTATCTTACCTCTCTGCAACTCCTGTCTGCCACATCTCTTTATCTACAGGCAGCAAGATCAATGTCACAGTGGTTTTAATCTATAGAAAAATAGAAAAAGGTTACCAAGTCAATGTGTAAGTTTTCTATTGGGTATAAACTGTTTTTTTTAATAACAGCATTCCTATGCTAACTGAAAAAAGCCACAACAATGTATGTTGGCAAAACAATCATATAAAAGTTAAATACTTGGAAGTATTGAAATGTTTCTGGACCCCTAGATGTAAAAATGCCAGTAAAAGGGAAATGAGTACCTGCTTTTTACATGTGCCATCTCTAGTTGACAGCATATTTTTTAATCCCCTGTTTTGAATACAAATTCCAAACTGGCAGTGGGTTCATATCAGTCATTTTACTAAGTAGCATGAGTTGAAGCCACTGCTTAAATAGACACGAAGCAAATAAATTATTCACATCTGCACAGGGGAATTTTCTATTCCTTCTATTTTAAGAAATACCTTCTGCTAGCCAACAGAGTAAAATTAACATAGATAAATTATATCCCTTGCGAGTATGAGGGATATGCAAGAAGTAAATCTAAAAAATTTCTTAAAACCAGGAATTTAAACTTGTGGTTAATTTTTTAAATTATTTTTGTCTAATACAATCTAGGTCAGCTTGTAAACAGAAAACACCAAATGAAAAATAAATGTTTCTGCATTTCTGATGAGAAATATTTTAACACCTTCAAAGGACCGTAATTAAAGATATTTCAAAAGTTTCCTTTTTTAGCAATAATTATTTAATGAATGCAACTCAAGTTCATATAGCTTTGATCCACTGAAATTTATCTTTCATCATAAATTAACAATTGGTAATTAAAAAAAAAAAACAGCCTTTCTCTGCTCTGGATAGATATCTGTTTGCATCACATATTGCAACATGGCACATTGTAATATTTAAAAACTTAATTTTAGAAGTTTCTATGTCTTTCCTACAGTGTTGTAATTTCTGTTTAATAATAGCAGTAGTTACCTTCTCCATCACAGCTGTTTGTTGTTGGGGAAATAAAAAATAAATTATATTAATAGGATTCACTCATAGATTTGAATGATCAGTAAATCTGAAAGGAAAGCAAATTCTTGATATGTTATTGTAATAATGCACTTTTCCATGGAGGAATGAATATTATAATGTGGAGAGTTACACTAAATTTATAACAGAGATTTAAGCTTTCAGAAATATGACAAAGAAAAAATACTATAAAGCAGCTGCATATCAAACATAATTTATCTCAAAACATTAAGGAAATAATCTGTGTGTATAGACCTTTGCATTTCCAGTAGCATGCTGAAGATTCTGTAACTAAGTCACTTTTCAGAGGTAGACCATTCGAAGAATAATAAGAATAAAAGCAAATTGATAACTATGAAACAGATTGAGCATTCAATTATATTAATAGATGGTTGGTGTTTTAGAAACTACTCTGCTGATCATCGTCAATTCATAGACAATTCTACCACATCATCTGATTTCAGGAAACTGCTAAAAAAGAAACCTATTGCCTGAAAAATTTATTCACCACAGTGTGTAGAAATCTGATAGTAACAACTTCTCAAGTTCAGAAATTAATTGCCCAAAAGTCTTAAATGACTTTCCATTTCTCTAAAATCATGTTGGTGTGGTTCACGAAAAACAGTGATGAAACTAGGACAGTACAACTCTGATCTATAGACCATAATAGCATATTGTTATGTGTTTTGCAATAGAAAAAGAATAGTTTATTCTTTAAACAATATTATAGTTTCTGGAATTATATTCCCAAATAGTTTTTTTATTGTCTACCTGCTGAAAAATTTCAGTCATATCTGAATGTGGTTTTGACATTATGAAACCAGAAATGTTTTTTACTTCGCTAATACGCGTCATTTCAATGCAATAAATGTAGTTAAGAGCACTTTCATCTTCTTGATTAAGAAATGACAGTTGAAGCCATGGAGAAATGCTAATATTCCTGGAAAGCAGCTTATAAATTGTAAAAATACACTGCTGAAAATTATGGAATGGAAATATCCAATCATTTACACAATTCAATTTCCTTTCAAATTCAAGGTAAAATCTCATTAAAGCATCAGAGTTTCAAAAACCTAATTGCTAAATTTTATGTGGTTTCTAAAAGGTTTTGTAAACTCTTTCTGCTGTCTTACAGCTGTCAGAAGTTCACAAAGTACCACCTGAAATACACTGATATACATGATTAAATAATTAATTATATTTAGATTCATCCCCGGTACAAAGAACTGCAGAACATTCTATTACCTTTTCCCTATAGTGTCAAAAAAAAAGAAAGAAAATGGCTTAGCAGTAACAGAAATATAGATTTTTCTACTGTTTCTATCTATATGTATCTCATGTATGCATTTTTAATGTAGGTTGCTGCAAATAGTGTTTTCTTCTATCTGCACATCTGCTTTTTTAATAGTTTCATTTTGTGTTGAAAAATAATTTCTTGTTTTGTTGGTTTTTTTTTAATCCTTTCCATATTGAATGTCAGTGACATTTAACAAACAAATATTTCATAAACAGCATCTCAGTGTCTTACTTTGCATGGATATGTGACATTCCGGTTTCAAAATAATAATCTATCACCATTCTGCACATTTAAAAAACTTCAATAGTTGAAATACACTGAAATTTTCTTGTTCTGTTGCTTGATAGATCTTTCATTTGGCTTTTCTGTAGCAAACTCTTTGTCAAACTATTCTTTCCTTTTCACATCTAGTACCTCATTATATTTTTGGATGGATGTGACCTAACACTCAAAATGCAATTTGTTGAAAAAGGAAATACAATGTTGTCTTCATGCTACTCATTCTAGACATTTCTATCATTGATATATTTTGTCTTACAAAAAAAAAAAAAAAATCAAAAAACAACAAAACAACAACTTTGTTCAGTTAAAGTGGAAATGTGTTCTGTCATTGTATTACTGGGTTATAAGTAGATTGAAAGACTTGTCTCCGTCTTAATAGGGCTATGCAATAAGTCTACAGCTGAACACAACTGGAAGCCAAATTTTTATTTCCCAGTTCAATACAGTTTTCATCCAACCACCTTTCCTATTAAGCATGGGAGCATGTCTTCTATGAAATCCTTGCATTAGTACTTCCCTTTCAATTGTAATCTGTACAATACTGAGAGAGAACATAGCTAAGAAAGTATCATAGTTCTGCATTAAGGTTGATGGAGCATCTTGAGTATAGGGTAGAGAGAAATGGAAAGACTGACAGTAGAAGAGCAATAGTTGCTTTGAGAAAAGATACCAAGACCCAGTGATATGAGTATTTTGCAAAACAAAAATAGCATACAAAAAAAAAACAACACAATAGTAGAGATATAACAAATTTTCTCTTCCTTTCTTCTTCATATGTAATACTGCTACACCTACCCAAAATACGAATGAGCCTGTGAAGGCAAACTCCTTCTAATCAGTTTTACATAATTATTTAAATCTTTCTAAGCATTTTGTTTTCTTTTTATTAAGTTGAACATTTGTCATCAATCCCTAAGCAGTCTTTAGTTATTAACCTACCATTACAGAAGCACTCATGGAGACATGGATTTTTAAGTACCTGTATTTCAGTATTAGTATGGTAAAGTAAATTAGGTACTAATGCTGGAAGGCATCACTAAGCAGACAAGATTATATCAGTATATGCTTAAAGGCTGTCTTAAACAGGATAGATTTAAACACATAATTTTTTTTCTTGCTTCGGGCCATAAAGAGTAGTGAGAGAATCACACATGTAATGAATTTTTACTTCTTTACCTTTCAAAATACTACATATCTACATGCAATGTGGGACTTGAGGCTGGGTGGGTTTTGGTGATGTGATTCAGTTCATTTTTTCTCAGTGATTGTTTTTGTCTTTCAGACTTGAATCTCCTACTAGATCTTTGGTGATGGAAGCACCCAGGGGAGTGCAAGTCAATGCAGCTGCAGGAGACCTAAAGGCTACCTGTAGGAAAGAACTGCATTTACAGTCCACAGAAGGGGAGGTGAGTTTAGCCTGTAGAGAAATGCTCTACAGCTCTGCCCAGTGTAACACAAACAATACAAGGATGATTTATTCAGCAGCAAGGTCAACATCAGAAGAAGTATTCTGCATTTGCCTACATTAAAGTAATTTTGGTTTAGCTTTCTCAATTATTGATAATTATTTGGTTTTAGTAAATATTTCAATTACTAAGTTCCATTCACACTGGAAAAAAATACTAGTTAAATGAATATAGATAAAAATTATTTTTCACCTAAGAGTCAAGGAAAAACCTACCCAGTCCTTCAGCATATATGTTGGACAGATACAGCTAAGTGATAGTGGTAAAAACTTACTTTGGGTGAATCTGACAAATTAAGAGAAAGAGTAAACCTGTGAAAACTCATGAAAACTATTTTACATTCAGTCACTGGTTTGGTTGGCAATCCGTGTATTGCAAAAATGCATGAAAGAGTACCGGTGTGAGAATTCTTTAATCTTCAATCCTTAGAATGATGAAACTTTAAAAATAAACTCATGCAAAGATAGCAAAGTGTCTCAGATTTCTATTAGGCACATTGGAGAAATTGATAGATTTTCAAATTGTTCTCAGTGGGACTTGCCAGGTTACAGCATTTATTGAAAACTTGTTGTTTAATGTAAGTCTCTCATTGGGGAGGGAGCTCTTCAGAAATTTTTTTGGCTTTTATAGTATTTTGTATTTTCTACCAAATGTTCTCAGAGTCTTTATAAAGTATCCAGATAAGTAAAAGCAAACAAAACCAGCATTCACATCTGTGACATATAATCTCCTGCAATGCACACTCTTTGCATTACAATGCAGAGAGGAATTTTTTTTGACCAATATACTGCATTCAAGACTTATTTTGATATCATTTTTCTGATGATGCAAATATCTGTTGTGCATAATTAAAGCACAATATTTTCTTTATTCAGAGCCTCAGATATCTACATACCACATGTTTTACCTTATTTCTGAGTTTCTTCATAAACCAGCTCCTCCCGCTGTGTTTCACTTTTACTTACCACCTCTCTAAATATAAAATCTTTGTTACTCTTGCCCAATAGGGGTAAGGACAATCTAATCATCTCTTAGTAGCAAGCATTGTCTTTCCTTACCTTTGTCCTTTCTGTGCGCGTTTTTATTACAACGGCTACAATTTCTTGTAACTTTTTCTGCTTCCCCTCTGTAAATCCCTACTTGACCCAATCTAGTATGTTTCCTATGTTTATTAACATAATTTTTTTCACCTAGATTACATTTCCTTGTTCTCTCCATTCATGATATTTCCAGAGGAAAAAAGTAAAATTCAAATGAAAATTTAAAAAAGGAAATACTATTACCTTTCCTCAGTCCCCCATGATCCCTGAAGCAATGGTTGTATCTATAGTGTCTTGGTTTAGTATCATGCTCCTCTGTAGTGCTTTGTACAAATGTTTTATCTGTGGATTCATCAGGCGTTTTTGTCTATATCAACATTGTGAATTTATTGCATGATTTCTAATTTTTATTCAGTATTTATTGCAATACATTGAAAATGCAGTTTTGAAAATGATGTCCTAACAACCTCAGCTGAACTTTGAGAATGGGAACCCAAGAAAATTTATAATGAGTATATCATGTGTTATTCGCAACTGGAATTCAATACAGTATTAAATGCTTTGTAGAAAAAAAATGCCGGTGTAAAGCAGACTTTGCTGAACTTATTAAATTACATATTATTCCTCTGCATGGTAAGTAGGACTCCACATCTGCGATTTCCCATGTAGATGTTAGGATGATAGTTATCAGATAACAAGCTTCCAACTTTTGCCCACTCTTTCTCAACGAGCTGTTCTGTAAGTGTATATCTGACAAAAGTTCAGTGTCTAATTATCTCTTGAACACTTAAAATTCCAGTAAGAACTGTGTACCCTAAATCCACAAAGAAATTCCATCCTGAGATCTGGCCAATGCCTTTATAGTCCACTATTTTATGTCTTGCACTGGAGAAAGTCAGAGGAAAATGCAAAAACATTTTGGTAGGCATACGAAGAGCTTCCACAGCATCCCTGGTTGTGCAAAGTTACCCCATTAGGTAACTGCTGGACTAATTACAGCCTGGTGTGAGGAACCAGGGTAAACATCAGATAGAGAATATGTCTACATAACAAGATATTGATTGGTGTCCTTGCTTACAACCCAGCAGATACACCACAGATTAGCAAACAGCAGGAAAAAAGTGCAAAGGATTTATACTCATTTTTAAGAAAATACATTCTAAACCAAAACAAAGTTTCTATAAAAAATAATCATTTTAGTCTAAAAATGTATGATATCATTCATGATTCTTTCATGAATTAAAGAATAATAGTTTTGTGAAATGTATCTGTGAACCATTTTCTGATAAGACATTTTTTGTACCAGGGAAGATAAAAGTTTTTGGTATTGTTATCACACTGATTAACTAAATTTAACTTTTTAATGTTTGTAAGCTTATTCAAAAAACAATCAAAGGTATGTGAATTAACATTTTTCCTTCTAGAGCATAATTATTGCCCTCTTATGCCAAAAAATAGGTATGTGGCACTTGGAATCAACCAGTTAAAGCCATGTGGCAGAACATTATTAATTTATTGTGGATTAATCTAGGAAACATATATTTTCCTTTTATTTAGGAATAACATCTGGATGGTTTTTAAGAACATAAATGTGTTTATGAAATACTTTTCCTCTAGCCTTATTTTTCATGCAGAATAATCTCTAGCCTACCACATCATCAACTGAAAGCTTCTGCAACCATTCTGACTTCTACTGTTTGATACATTTTATTTACTGCAGAATTATAATCTCTTTAGTCCTATTACACATTATAATGTATGATCGCAGACTGAATACTGGGGGCTGTAATTTAGACTCAGATTCTGCTGCCCTTTATAAAGATTTTAAGATGCATCCTTGTGAGTCAAAGCATCAACAGAATCCTTTGATTCGATTATAGCTTGGTATTTAATTGTGAACTATGCATTATTCTATAAATAAACCATAAGCAATGGTTTAAAGCAGTAAATACTTACAAGGAAAATGAAATGTGAAGCTCCAGGCTCCAGCTGAATCTGTTGGTTCACATAAGAATAAAAGACATATCCCGTCTGGAAATTCAGCATATCTGCTAGTTGACTACTGCTTCTCTCACATATGAACACAATGCAAAATAACAGATCAATTTTTAATTCTGTAGACACTGAATTTTGGTGGGATTAAAAATGTTAGAATTTAACCTGAAACACTTCATCATATAATGATAATAAGCTTAAAAGATGATTTGATGTTGTCCACTCTTTGGTCTAACAAATAATGGTTTTGACAATACATCACCTTTTGAGAGAGAAAGCTGCTAACTAGCCTCAGCTTCTATGAGTCTTGCTCAGCTGCTATGTATTTTTGGAAGCAGCTTCTGTGTAAGTTAGGCTCTGCACTTTGATTGCATCCCATTGACTACCAAATACCAAGTAAATAAAAGGAGAAAGATGCACAGAGGCTTCTCATTTTTACAAATACATTTGTATTCTTTGCCCTGTCTGTGGCCTTTTCACTGTTTACTTCTTCATGCCCTTGTATTTCCTAGTTGTTTGTAGACTGTATTTGTTGTTTCTACCATAATGAGGCTGATCCCTTGGTGATGCTTGTAGCTGTCACATTAAAAATGTACTCTTTAACAGACAAAGTTTACTCAAAATCAGTGTAGCAGACAAGAGGCCAAGTTTGTATTTACCATTTTAGCACAACAGAGTTTGTGTGGTACTAGAATACTTAATGTATTCAGTTTCACCCCAGTCTTCACATTCATTTCACTATTTTAACTGTTGCTTAATACTCTTAAGACAGATATGGTTCCAGATACTATGCCAGCATATGTTTAGATTTTACAGTTTATATGCTATCAAGTTAATATTTTAATTTTCCATGATAAATATTTTTTATTTTTCTCAGAACTGTATTTCAGATTTAATGAAGGCTGGTTTAGGCAAATGATTTTAAAATAAATGTCAGAAAAACAGATTGGTGTTAGAACAAATGGCCATGTGAACTAAGGTACTGCAATTTATCCTATAGCTCATATCCATCTTGAATATTAAAACACACCGGAATATGGAAATTATATAGCTGAGTCTAGCGACCCAATCTAGATAATCATTTTTGTATGTATGCTTCTGATAGACTATGAAAAGAGGAAGAAGAGAAAAAGATGAGACAAAATCATGCATTGTTATAATTCAGATTAATTCTGAAGAGTCTAAGGGAATCCAAAAAGGTTTACTGAGATGTCATTACACAGTCTCCTCATGCTGGTTGATGAACACCAACCTTTCAGACTTCCTTCTTGTCCTTTCCTTCAGAAAAAGGACCTGAGGGTGTTGGTGGACAGCTGACTGAACACGAGCCAGCAGTGTGCCCAGGTGGCCAAGAAGGTCAATGGCATCCTGGCCTGTATCAGAAACAGTGTGACCAGCAGGAGTAGGGAGGTGATCGTGCCCCTGGACTCAGCACCTTGAGTACTGTATCCAGTTTTGGGCACCACAGGATAAGAAGGACATTGAGGTACTGGAGCAGGTCCAGAGAAGGGCAATGAGGCTGGTGAGAGGGCTGGAAAAGATGCCGTATGAGGACCAGCTGAGAGAACTGGGGTTGTTTAGTCTAGTGAAGAGAAGACTGAGAGGAGACCTTATTGCTCTCTACAACTACCTAAAAGATGCTTGTAGCGAGGCTGGTGTTGGTCTCTTCTCCCAAATTATTGATGATAGGATGAGGGGAAGTGGCCTCAAGTTGTGCCATGAAAGATTTCGATTAGATAATAGGAAGAATTTCTTCCCTTAGAGAGTGGTTAGACACTGGAACAGGCTGCCCTGGGAGGTGGTGGAGCCATCATCCCTGGAGGTGTTAAAAGAATGAGCAGATGTGGCACTTGAGGATATGGTCTAGTGGTTAGGGAAGTGCTGGGAGGAAGGTTGGGCTTGGTGATGCTGGAGGTCCTTTCCAACCATAGTGATTCTATGATTCTATTCTATATTTTCTTGCTTACCTTTCTCTTGCTTTCCCTCTCACTGTTTGCATTAACACAGTCTAATGAGCAGACGACTTGCAGATATCTGTTAGCAAAAAACATATGTAAAAGAGTACAATTTTTTCATTCCTATCTCATGGCCTCCAGGCTGATTCTGTTTTACTTTAATTATCCAGAAACCAGGTCTACATGCAAATATTATAGGGCTAAGATATTCATCTCAGCACTAAGATACACAAGACAAAGTGGTGATCCAGGTATTTTAAACATTAAGTGTTTAGAGAGAATGAAGTTGCTCAGTGCTTTGCTCTCTCTGTGAAATAACATTTTTTCTGAGTAGCTGCCCTTTTCTGTTTTGTAATCTCTCAGTCAGACTCCTACAATGGTTCAAGAATGGATAAAAGTTTTGGGTTTATCCTTACCTACTTATCTGCTGAGGTGTGGAACTCTCAGAAAGAGCATAACTGGCTTGCATGACCTTGATGCATATGAGGTATTCAATGGCTTATCTTGTACCTTTCACAGCACAAAAGATTAGAGAAAGACTGTGTATATAATCACTTCTAATAACTACTGTCATCTAGCAAGTGTTCCCGGAGAACATAATACAGTTCATTTTTTTGTCTTGTCACCAATTCCCTTCCCTTTAAACACCTCATAACATTATCTGTAAACCAGTAAACAGTTTAAGTTTTACTGATGTTGCAGGATGTTTTGGCCATGAATTTTGGGTCTTAGGAGATGATAAGAGGGAGAGGATGTATCCTCAAACATAGGCTATGTTCCACTGAAATTCCTTATGCATATTGGACTACTGTGATGACATATTTGGCCCCCTGGTTATGTAATAGATAGCAATGCTATATCTGTAAATATAGTCTTTTATTTATAACCTTGACAGCACATGTACAGAATAGATGTAATACTAGCTTTAAGTCATTTTTATTAATCCTGTTCACCTTGGGTTTACCCAGGGATTAGCTATAGGAGTCTGCTTAAATTGCAGAGCCTTCCTATCTTTCTGCAAAGGCATGGAGCTTGTTAATACTCATCACAGCAGTTGCACCCTTATGAGAAGCCACTTCAGCTTTTCTCAGACACCGTACCCCAGTATCCACATTGCTTACCTGATCTGGATGTGTACTGGGACAGGACCTGATAGCTACTGCTCAAGATCATGACACCAGAAAAACCTGGATTTATCTGTATCACGGTGTGAAATTTGTAAGAACTGGTGGTCAAGCGTGCATAGCTATACTTAAAAAGATCATTTAATTTAATGAGCAAAATAACTGAGCTACATTGCCCTATAATGCGCACTGGAGTAAGTCCCCTAATTCAAGTCTCTGGGCAGTGCACTACTGAACATCTGCAATGAGGGGTTGCAGAAGGATACCTGTCCTGATCTAAACAAACACATAAAAATATTTATCTTCTGAACAAAAATATAATAAAGCTGAAGAGAGTTTAATCTAGCCTGATCTCTGACACATATGCTTTCTCATTTTTTGTTATTTTTTGTTTGAATCAAAACACGTCTTTTAGAAGCCATTTGATTTTGATTTGCAGCTTTCTCATGATCCTTCCCTATCACACGTGCAGTTAAACTGTTAAACTGGCCAGTCACACATACTGTCAAAACTACAAATAATTAATCTTGTACTGTTGTTGGATTTTCTTACACACCTTCCACACTGAAGTGCCTTTTATTACCATGTATATAATATTTTAGTGTCTACTGCTTCCATTTTGTTAAACATAGCATAAAAATAGTCTTTTTTTCTTATATTCTTTGATATTCCAATATTTGGGCTCTGAAATACTGAAAATCAGTATTAGTCATCCAAGAGGCTCCTCAGATTTGGTTTTGAGATCTAGTTGTTAAAAGTTATCAGGAGCTGCTGATTAAATGTATATGGCATTACTGACTCCTGTTTAATATCCTGTTGAGTTATTGGTGAAATTGAAAATATTTTGTCAAAGTCATGCTCTGTCATAAATACTTGATCTTTCTCAAAATACAGAACTATATTGAGCACTATTTGGTATAAAAGATATACTTACATAGAGCTTACAGTGTTGAATACTACTGGATTTTTATGCAATACTATGAACTCCAAAATTGCTATATTAGTAGTAGACTTATTAACATTTCTTTTATTCTTGATATGAGAAGTGGAAGAGTACTTTTTATTATCTATCACTCCACTGACTGATGATTATGTCCTTTGTTTCCTTCCTACATTTTACCAATTCTTAGCTTCTAGTTTTGTATTAAATTCTTTTTTTCCCCTTCTGTTATTTTGTTTTCTTATTATGCTTGCTATAGCTACTTTCGCATTTACTTCTAGCTGAGCTGAATGTTTTTACATTTACAATTTTTTTTTTCAGTTGTAATTCCAGCAGAACATTATTAAATTGTTCCAAATGCCATCCACATTTCTTCCGTCTAAATTATTTCTGCAGGGGTTTTGACTCCTAATTTTTTCAGGTCCATGGTACTGAACTGCTAAAGCAGAAATGCATGTGTGTATGTGTAAATATACCATTCCTTTACCATATAAATTAGAGAATTAAAATAATAACTTGATGCATTTCAGTTTTGTGATCAATTCCTCTACCAGTCAGGATGCGATTTAAAACAGGCATTGTGACATGCAGTTGTCACCTGTGCCTCCTGAGATTCTCCCTTTCCGTCCCTTGTAGTGTAAATTCCCACCAATGGTAGTATCTTACTGTAGGAGCTGGAGAATTCAAAATGATTGAGAGCTACATTCTTTGGGATTACTTCAGATTGTATTTCCTTCAGTGATCCCAGTCATTTGCAATGCTTCTGCTGTGAATGGTAACATCTACATCCATCCCTGCGTGGGATTTTATCCAGCCACCTTAACTTTTTCCCAGCCTGCTCTCCCATTTCTCTCCAGCAGTGGCCTAGTGGTGCTCCCATGCTGCTTTTCTGACATGTACCACTGATTTCATCATAAAATAGTACTTGTCTCCTCTAGGAAAAAAATAACAATACATGCCCTATCTCCCTAGGCTCTTTACATGTACTGACAACGTTGTGATATAATGGTGTCAAGATGGCTCTGTTGATTTTTCAATACCTAATAAAAAACACTAATAAGTATTTAAGAAACTTGCCTTTTCCTAGTGTTCATATTGTTATCTGTATTGCTTAAAGACATTTTAATTTTTTACTTGTCTTCTACAAGTTCCTAGTCTGCACTTCAAGTAATGACTGATCTTTGGCTCTCATTTACTCCTTCCATAAATAAAAATTAAATCCTAAGATGAAGACTCCTTTGTTTGTAACAGTAGAAGACATGGATTTTTCCTGCTTTGGTTACCTAATTTCATGACATTGTTTATTAAAAACCCTCAAAATGTAAGTATAAATATTGCAGAACTTTGTGCAGATAAATGAAGATTACTGGAATCTACAGTTTCATGACTCATGTTATTTCCAATGGAAGGAGATTAAAAACCCCAATATTTTAAAATCATATGCAGTGTTCAGAAACAAATGAGAATAGCTTGATGACCTTTTTAATAAGACTTTAACCTGAAATCTTTTCTCTTAATTTAGGTCAAATAAGTTCTTTATTTTGTGTGTATGACTCTGTACCCTTATTTAATTATTCTCTGGATGTAGCTGTTGTTAAGCCCCTACAACTTAGCACAGTTCAGCACATATTTCCATCTGCTTACAGGAACACACTGGGGAATGTACTTTAATAGCACTTCACACTTATTAAAATACAAATTATTCCAGAGCAAGGATATGCTACTGCCATGAATGAATAAATTATAATAATAAAATGTACAAGTGAAAATTCAATCTATTCAAGAGTATTGTGAAAATGTTTTTGTATGACACCGTTTGTATGTGAATAAATATATTGGGTGAAGTATTTGGACATACTGTGGTAATGAGCATTAATAGGTATACAGCTACAGAGAGTTCAAAACCAAGAAATGTTGACAGCTTTTTTATTTCTAAGAATAATAGTTTCTAATATATATTTCTAATAATCTTTCAAATACTTTTAATAAAATATTTCTATTTTTTTTACATATGTCTAAAAAGACTTCATGACTGCCTCAAAACACTTTGTTAAAATATGTTACAATGTTGAAAGAAATTTACTTCTTTTTTTTCCCCCTCTTTTAGATATTTTTAAATGCAGATACAATCCGCCTGGGAAATCTACCAGTGGGCTCCTTTTCTTCCTTCTCCTCCTCCTCCTCTTCCTCCTCCTCCAGCTCTTCAGCTCCTCGCCAGACTATCTATGAGCTCTGCGTCTGTCCCAGTGGCAAACTTTACCTGTCGCCAGCAGGAGCAGGCTCCACATGTCAATCCAGTAGCAACATCTGCTTATGGAGCTAGAATGACTCCAGTTTATCCTCACACCAGAATAGCCTTTTGTTACTATCCCTCTGCTTCACAGTTCTTCTCGGTTTCCCTTGTGACAAGTTTGACGCTTCAAATGGCCTGCAGAGCAACTTCTTCCAGTGTAAGCAGGAATACAGCACTGCCTTCTCTCGTGGTTTGTGTTGTCACTCAACGTAGAGATGGGAGTGAGATATTCAGAGCTCAATGTATTCTTCATCAGGAAACCCGGAACACAATACCATCTTTTGTCCAAAAGGGAGAATAACACAGGTGCCTTTGCTACATGAAGTGAAGCACATAGTTTTAGATTTTTGCAGGACCTGGATATGAACTGCACATATATATATA